TTGAGTCTGTTCATGGACGGTACTACAAAGTGCAAGCTACCGTCTACGCCCCTAGCAACCGCAGAAGCAGAGTTCAAAATTTAAATTTGAAATGGTATAATTTTAAATTTAGAAACATTCGCAGATGTGTCCATATGGCGTTATTATGGAACCTTCGTAAAGAGGCGTATGGTCCCCGAGTAGAAGAATGCTTTCCCCTAAAAGAGTTATCAAAGGGCAGAACTAAACAAAATGGAATTTTGAAAAGGGACATTATTCTGCAGAATAAAAACAACCTTAGCCGGTGCTTAAGAAGGTACGTGACTAGCACTGAACTATAAGACTCAATACTATAGCATTATATTTTAACAAAATCAATTCGAGAAAAAATTGTGTTAATGGGCCCGACTTTTAAGATAACATTTATTACCTTGCCTGTCTTGAAAAATTTAAACATATACCTGAAGTGGTCGGACTTTTTGATAATCCTGAAGAAAAGAAAAAATATAATAAGGAACTATATTCGGTTGAATTTTTTTTACCATTATTATTGCAATTATGTGTATAACATGCAAAGCACAAAATAATTGTAAATGTAGAAATGACTATTTGCAAACTGTTTTAAAGAAAATGTTTTTCAAAAATCATATATTACTATATTATACTATTTATAAATTCAGTTTTTACTAATTTAAGGTAATCAAAAATAATGAATACAATAGTATATCAAAATCAACATAATGTGACAAGAATGTGACATTAGAACATATAACACGACTAAAACGATATATCTAATCTTTAACATAAACAAAACAGATGAAAGAAAGACAAGTACCTGGGCAGGACCCTAGCTTGGGTTTTAAAATATCCCATGGCAGATTTGAACAGACCACACTGAGACCTGATTTACAACATGTTTCCAAGAGTTTCCCATATGTTGGTGTACAAGTTAGGTAACACGATGCAAACTGTTCTAATGAAATATTAGCTGAAATGAATATAAAAAAGTTAAAATACTATAACATTATTTATATTTTGACGTTATAAAAAGTCGGGCCACAGAGAAATGCATGGAAATAGATGATTAAGAAAATAACTTTGAACGCACCCTCTCGCGATTCTATAGGTGAAGTAATGTAAAAGAAATGTCAGGTTTATTCATGTTTTAAAATGGTTTGCGGTATGAATCTTAATCTGAGATGATCTTAAATGTTGAATTATCTTAATCTCGCATAATACAGTGCTGTCCATGAACAGGTTCAATCAAACCGAGCATTTAACATTAACATTTTTAATTTAACCGTTTTTGACGTAAAGGTCCTTTATGGATTCATTTTTCTTTATCTTAAGTTATTGCTAATGGATTTGAAAACATTATGGACTGATAAATTAAACAATACGTATTTCAATAGTGTGACTTACTTCATAATAATAAAGTTTAGAAGATCTAAATGATAATGTAATTGATTGCTTTTATTTATCACTTAAAAATAGAAGAAAAGTGTATTTTTGAAGAAATATATAACGAGTTAACTTGCAAGGTACAGCATTTCCATCCAGCAGAAATCGTTTGTTAGCTGACAGAGAGTAATCTGCAACAAAATAAATTGTTTTGGCGTCATGGTGTGCTTACATGTCCAGGGACAAATAAAAAAAACTCCATATTAAACATGTGCATTTATTGAAAATATCAGTTTAAATCAGTATGTCAAATTTTAGCAGACATTTGCGTTTCATGTCAACATAGAGTACACATTTTAGTGACGTTATCCTAATATTCTTGCTTGCTTTCTTGTTTTTGAATTACAAATATATTATAAGATGTTGACAATTATTTTGATTGACAAGAAACTGATAATCATAAGTTTTTTTATTATAACCTATAAAATTGAAAACAATTATGGCAAGATGTAAAGTTTCTTTGGTATTATCATTTACACTAGAATAGGGCTAATGTAGCATTAAGTAAATATAATTCAGTATAAATTGAAATATCTGATTTTTTAAAGATAGTTAAGCACGTTTATAAAGATTCAAAAGTTTAACAACGCGCTAACATTTCAGGGATACATAAAAAATTATTCAATATTTGATGAATAAATTATTAACTAATATGTTTACATAAATCGAATTTGTTTCACGAGTTTCCAGTATATTTTTCATAAAAACGAACACATATCTTAACCTTTAGATCCAGATGGGTGGCATGCATAGGTTGCTAGTAGTATCGCAAAGGCAAGTAAACCTGAAAAAGACAATAATATACGTTAAAACCTTAAACAGACATTTATTTACGTCTATGAATGATAAACTTATAAAAATAAATTAATTTTAGACATTACACCCACAACACCCTAGGATAATTATTCAATGTGATTAAAATCATGTTCAAAACATATTATAACCCTAACAAAAGAGTCATAAAATACATATTTTTCAATATGAAATAATTTGTATGCCACTTTGGAGAAGCGAGCTGCAAGTTGGACATATTAGTATTATTACCAAAATCTGAAAGGAGGGTGATCCCTCGGAAGTATTTTTATTCGCAACAAAATTACATAAAAATTAGTCAGTTTGATAGAGGGATAATAAAAATTGCATCATCAATTATCCTGAAAGTAAAGAAAAAATATAATAACACTGATGTTGACCATAAATGTATGAGAGAATATAAAATCAAGTATTTAAATTACCTGCGCTCTCTCTTAACATTGTTATCTTTCTGAAAGACCTACTAACAACCTGTATAACCATTGTTCATCTAGGACAAACGCTATATAATCGCAAGACATTAAACACGAACTGCTGATAACTTTAACAGTTTCTTATCAGCATAAATATTTGCAAATATGAGTCGTCTCTACGATGGACTGTTTTGTAGGGCATAGTTTTGATATTCCCATATAATCCGGACATGACATCTTTTGTCTTACAAAGTTCTTCAACATATAGTTCGAATAAATAAGAATTATCAGAAAATTACAAATTATTTAAGACTCATTATGGCCCTTGAAATGTCAGGCATGCATCTGATAAATTACATGTTTCAATAATGGTTTAAAATCATATAAGATTAATTGAAACTGTTAAAAGTAGAAATGAACGTAATGCTGTAATGTGTAATAAATGAAGTGAAATGTTAATAAAATAGTATTTTCATGCAAAATACTAATTCACTATAATTGTTATTATTATATCATACCAGTTGCCAAAAGATCAAAGGGGAACAGAAAGTTCAACTATGTGGCAAATGAACAAATTTTTGGAAACTGTTATAAGATACCGAACATAAAACATTAAACGTTAAACAAGGTCAAGAAGGAAAGTCGGCTTTCAATGAACGCAACTCCCACACGACCAAGCACCATGAACCAGTGGATAGGAGCCGAGGAAGACCCTCAAACAAAAACAGGACAGGACACAAGGCAGAACACGGACAGACTTATCACTAAAATTATAAATAATTTGCAACTGATTAGGAATTGAAAGAGAAAAAATAAATGATTGAATTATAGGAAATAATATTTAACTGATAAGGAATTCAAAGAAAACAAATAAATGATTAAATGATAGGCCCACAAAGTCAAAGGGCACAGGGAAAGGGGACAGGAGACCCGGGGAAGGGGAGGGGGTAAATTTAAGAAATAAGACTAGGGGCAAAAGGGAAGATACTTACCGTAAACGAGAAAACAACAAGCAGAAGTGTCACCAAAACAGTATGAAACAACATAAACAAACATCTGAGGAACACAAAGGGAACAGTCATCAGCACAAGTACTGCTGAGGAGTTTAAACCGGTTAATGGTGAAACCAAACCTAAAGTTTCTTGGTAATAAAATTTTTGCATTTATGAGGCATAGTGGGTCTTAAAGGAAAAACAAGTAGGTATTACGTACCTTTATAATTATACTCCTTTTGTTGATTGGATGAGTTTGTAAATTCGATGAAATGTACATGTGTATGAAGAAAACACAAAATGGGATTATATTAATTAAAGCTGTGGGCATTCTTTTCATTCTTTCAACCAGAAAATTATGAGAATTCAGAAATTGACCTTTTGGTACGATTCAATGGGGTATTTATTAAAGAAATGTAAATGAATATTGTAGGTAAAATTACGATTTTCATCATTCTTGTTTTATTCTTTTTGAGATGTGCATTTTTCTCCTTTATTGCCCACTCCAAAGTAATTCCAGGTCTGATTTTACTTAAGCCAGTGCAAGTGGGCGGGAACGTTCTCAAGGGAATTTTTCTCCCTATTTGATATCCCTGGGGCTACGTTCCTTTCCATTTTAGTTTTAGTACTAATATTAAAATGTCAAACAAATGTATAAAAGCTGCCCTTTGAACAAATTAAAATTAAGATCGTAAGATAGGGCTTTTCTGGAAAGCCTAGCTCATGGAATTTGTTTGAGAATCGAAAATCTATGTAGTTAATATGATAGCAAATAAATAGTATATTTTTGAATTAACAACTTATATATTACAGTTTGATTATATTATATCCAGCTTTTTGGAAATGAAATACTTTTAATTCCAAGAGAACATTTATCTTCTGTATATTGTATATATTATAAAATTATGTCTTAATTTATATAAACGCATTTATGTTTTTCAGAACATTAATATAAATTGTAAGGTAAAATAGTGGATGAATCCCCGACCCTAGTTTACCTATTATGGGGACAATAAACGGAGTAACCCCTTGGGCTTCAAAAAAGCTAAATATTAGCAAATTAGAATAGAACGTTACTATGTTTAAATTAAACGTTACTACGTTTAAATTAACAAGTGGCAATATTACTGAGTTGTGATGCTGTGGTTTTGATAGGATATATTATATTGAATGTATATAATCAGATTCCGGAAATCAGGGTTTTGTTGTTTGATACGATATAAACGGTAAGGAAGTTTATATAGTCCGTGTCTATAACTTAAGCAAGAGATATATAAGAACAGCCGTTTAAACATGTCGAACAAAACAATAACGCTGAACAAGCAATATAACGCAAAGTAATGCGCTTTATACATTCTTCCAAAATAATTACAGTTATTACAGAATTTCAATTAAATACGACTTGGTTCAAAACTGTTTCCCTTTTCTTTCGTCTCTGAAAAAATATAGTAATATATAGTAGTTATAAAATATAATAAAGATAATTGTGAAATTTGTTTTGAAAACTACAAATAGAAATATACATTTAATTCTAAGTATGCTTATTGAGATGTCGCTAAAATTAAATGTAAAATATTACCAAAGATGCATAAACATTTACACTATATAACAAATAATATCAAATAATATTTTGACATGTAAAAGACTGATGTCATACTTTAACATGACGTTCTTCAGCAGTTATCAGTTCACTATATAACAACCATTAAACAGTACGATTGAAATGATAACTATAACTTTATTCTAGATAAAAGATTAAGTTATATTTCATTCCTGAACACTAGCTTTAATATTGGCACTCATTCACACACTTACTCTACTTACCAATTCACTCACCCACCAATTCCCTCATCCACTCACTCACTCACTCAGTGAAATATATCTTTTTATTTATTTTAAAGAAGCAGAAAACGTCTTCACAAAAGAGATACAAATTAAAACCAGTTATGTTGTTTTTAAATCAAATGTTTAAAATTATAGTTTTCCAGCAAAGTCCAGTTAAAAACACAGTAGGAAATTGATAATATAAGGATATAAAAAGAAGAGACAAATACTGAATCGGCTGTAAAACATCTTAAGATAGTTAGAAAGGTTCAGAACATATGATATTTTGTAATGTCATATCAGAATTATATATATTTTGCCCATTGTTGATTAAAATAATATTCCACTGAATAAACCGTTTATATGGTTTTGCAACTTACGGCTGGCTTGCAGTTGGATCCAGTGTACGGATAGCCATATACTTCGCACTTGTTTTCACAATATTTGCCACAAAGCGCACGAAGATCGGGGTCATTACAAATACAGGTTACATTCTGGAGTTGCTCACAAATTATCTCTGAAGTCACAGGGTCTCCACATTTATTCAACTGTACATCCACAGGTTTGTCTGTTTGTGTAATAATTTAATTGATTAACTTTGTTATTACAATTGGTTTATGGTTAGTGTCAGGAAAAGGCCGGAAAGAATAACCCTGAATGCAACTGCCTTTAAAATAAACAAATTTTAGTCTGGTTAACACTAATTTTCAGTTTTAATTCTTTAACGTGAACAGCAAATGAATGACATGAAGCGAGAAGATACGACTTTATCACATGCCTTTTAGTGAAATTATATTTTCAAAATTCCACATTGAAGATAATAAATATTATTTTCACAGAAGCCGAACTATTATTTGTTGTATAAAATTTTCCGCATAAAATAATTTACTATTATTGCATTTATGATATTAGTAGGTTATTAAGTGCCCTTTATATTTTAATCATTATCACTATTTATAATACAATTATTATTATTATCATCAATGGAACATATTCATGTTGGCATTTATGACGTCACTTACGGGCACATTTTCCACATGTTTTTCTACAATACTGAACAGCATATTCTTCCCTGCCACAATACACTCTCTGTGCCCCTAGTGAAGAGCAGTCTAGATAATCCCAGCATGAGTCTACAATAACGGGAAAATTTGTTATATTTTAAAGATGTTTTAGTCAACAAGTGCACCATTTATATGTACAAGAAATTAATAAATAATATTTGGTACGAAGGTTGAACCATTTTATCAACATTCTTTATCTCCAATATTTTTTTATAGCTTTTTTAAAACAAATTAAAAAAAAAAAAAAAAAACTAAAAAAAAAAAAAAAAAAAAAAAAAAACTAAAAAAAAAACAAGATTTAAATGTTAAATTTCATATTGTGCGTTTTACGTCTCATGAAATTTAACGGAAATATTAAAGGACCAACCACACAAGCCACACGACCTACGACAAAGTTTCCAGGCGGCTGTGTTTTCCTTACAAGTTTCAATTAATATTTCTGGGATGGTACAGCCAAGAGATGTCGGATTATCTTGACATGGATCTAACAAAACAAGAAATTGCATTAGATACTATTAGAGAGTTGAAACACGTAATATTTAAAAAAAGTGCATAGAGTGAAGCATGCTTACAATAGCAGTGATTCAGATGTGTGTTTCTTCTCTTCATTAATTTTTTTAAAGTGTATAAAGCTATATATTTGATGAACAAATTATTGTTTGAAATTTAAAAAGGTATACTTCCAAAATACTTGCATGAAATAAATATGTAAATTTATTGCCTTTAAAACGAATGGCGCATGGATAAAATCATTGCTAAACAGATGAAATATTTTGTTCTGGAACATTTTATTTTGTTAACGTACATTATTCATGTGTGTTAAATGACAGAGGCTTTCTATGGTATAATGTTTTTGGGAATCAACCATATAATTATGGAACGAATATAATTTTACTGTTTATTAAGATATTTCATAAGATATAGATCTATACCCTTTAATGTGATTTTCCTTAGTTAACATTAAGGGGCAGAGAATTACAAACACTATTGATAATTCTTTATTTAGAATCAGTTGATTTGCTTCTTACTTTTTTCAAATAACTGCACTGCTTAACCTTTGGTTCTAGGGTAACATACTTGCTTAAGATTCGAGGCGTCTTGAGTTCGAACCCAAGTCAAGCCATCTGAATTTTAAGTGTCAGTTTTAGTGAAGTTAGTATTTTTTTCTAAACACATTAGTCAGGAAATTCTAAGAAACATTATTAAATGTTTAGCAATTGTTACAAGTGCACATAATTGTATGTTAATGATCAATAGAGAATCATCCAAGCAAAATTCTATACTGCCAAAAACTATGACGAAAAGTGTAATATATTTTTACATCTTGTTTTTCTCTCTTGAAACGATTATGTTAAGGCTAATTAGATGTTGTATACAGATTTGTCATTTTTGATTCTGTGAAAAGAGGAATTCGGTTGACACACACGCATATTTATTTAAAACACAAACAAGTAAAATGCAATTATATTGTGCATTAAAGTATAGCTCCAAAAAGAAAATGAAAACATATGATACATATGACAATATTCTTAATCAGAAAAGGTAAACCACCGTCGACTCTGACACTGACGATCTGACCATGTCATATGAACACTTTCACCTCATTTTCCCGAAAAGTGGAACTAATAGTTCCCCAATGATTGCTATTATAGTGTTTAAAAATTGGTTAAATTGCAAAGATGTGGTATGTCACTAAAAATAAAATTATATCTGCCTTCGGGACTAATTTTATTTAGGCATAATAAAATATATATAAGTCAGATGTCAATGGGTTGTAAAAGGGGTTAAAGTATATTTACGCATATTATGAACCCGATTGCTGCGATACATGCGTGTTATGCAATACTTTTACATGAAACGTAGGGGTTTGACAATTTGTTAGATGCAGGTAGGACTAATTTTGAATCGACATAACGTTTTTAATAATCAAACAATTCAAATATGGTTTGAAGCACGTTAAAGTAATCCATTTTCGGACGGAAGCGTGTAAGGAATTTTTGTAAGCTAAATCAGCGACTAATTATCTGAAGTTACGTTATATATATATATCAGTCACATTTAATATTTGACGTTACGTTATATTTATGTGAGAAAAGAAAATCTGAGACATGGTTCCCCAGAAATAATAATTAGGTTTATATTCCACAGGTTTGAAGACAAAAAATATAAAAAATAAAATAAAAGTAAAGCAATTTGATATGACAGTTTAAAATTTTAGATTTTTTTGTTCATAATCAATTTTTTACAAAGGCATTTTTTTAAATATGTTATTTTTTATGAATATCTCAGAGACATTTAATGTACACAATTTAATAAATTACTATTTTATACCTTAAAAAACATTGTTGGAATTTACGGTAATACCACTAAAGGTGTCTTTTGTCGGCTACAAAAGATTTTCACGAATTTATCAACGATTAGTAAACCTCATTGTAGATTATTGTCCTAATAAACAGCAATTGAAATTACTTTTTAAGCAATTATTCAAACAGTATGATAAATAATTTTTCACCTGGACATGAAGTTTCAGTGCACAATTCAACGTTGTATTGTTTTCCACCTTGACTTTGTTCACAATCATTATTATTCCCAGTCGAACAGTTCCTTTCTCGTCTTTGGAAACATGCACCTTGTTGTTCTTCACAAAGCCAACTTCCCCATGGTAACCAGTAGGGTTGGTGAGAAGTTGTAGGAGTTGTTGGTGGTAATGATGACGTCGTCAGTTGTGAAGCTTTGCTGTATCTAGTTGTTACTGTTTAAGTTTTAATATTTTAACTTTAATATTGAACAAAAATGAAATAAAAGGGGAAAAAAAGATATTAAACATTCTCACCAAACTTTTTCATATTCTTGTTGGATTTTAGATCGCACCGCCAAACATTTTAAAAGTCAGAAAACTTTGTATGCTTCTCTGTGTATTGCTCCAGACACGAACGGTCTCCTGAGTACACCACCGACGTTCCGAAAGCTAACTGGATAGTTTCCTTACGCATTAGAATCTAAAGGCCCTAACGACCTTTGAATCCACAAGTGTCAAGTGGTTGTTAGTCAAATACTTTAACCAATCAGTCATGGACGCCCTACTTTAAGAAGAAAGTGATTTTCAATAAGACAGACAAAAAAAAAACAAAAAAACATGGTTTATTTTTCTTCAAACAATAAACAGTGAAGACCTGAATAGAGAAAAATTTTCATTGGTCATTTTGAAATTACAAACTTGAGTCTGGGTAACTCATTGAACATTAAAAAAGTAAAATGTAGCCATTTTATAATAAATTGAAAGAAAAGCCATAAAGTAAAATGTAAATGATAGCTTTTTAACTTTCAAGTTATTTTGTTAAGAGTCATTAAATTATGACGTCACAATGTAAATGTCGAAAAAGAGTCTTTTATTTCAGAAATAATATCAGACTGAGTGGTGGTATTGGTTATTTAACACCGGTTTAATGTTTTGATGCGTAGAAATCGACCACAAAGACTATACAGCTATTTCGATTGCAACATTCCTAAATCAAAGGGCTGCAGCTCTATGGTATTTTCTAATCTTTGCAATCTAAATCATACTGACTATCTGTATGTACTTTCCTGTATAAGTTTTTTCATATACTATAATTCATCTTACGCAGCGACAGCGTTTTGATTTTCTTCTATAACAGTTTGAGATTTACATATGGAATTTTGCATGAAAAAAAATAAAATTGCCTCGACTAGGATTTGAACCATAGGCCTCTCACACCCTCAACGAGACCGCTTAAGACTGCACCACGGCGAAGTTATACATATGAACCTTGAATAAAAACGAATACATTATGCAATTCTAAATTGAGAATTTCCATTTCGTGTTTGTAATCCTTATTAATTTCGAGGTATTTTGTTCACGATAAACCTGTTTTTTAACACTGATGTAAATAATTTTGTGAAAATCTTCTCGCCAAAACATCCGACATGTATATATTCCACTACTCGACAGTCAGATTTGTTTGTGTAATACGCTCTGAAATATTCGGTAATCGACATTGCTAAAAAATAGCATTTTTCATTGATTAAAAATGATATTCATGATAATCCGAAGCTTTACGGAAATAGCCGAACATTTTTCATTGGGTAAAAAAGATATTCATCCGCGAAATTTGTGATTGTAACATCATATTTCTATTGACTAATCTAAACTTTTAATGCACTGTAATTCGTTAAATGCCTATATTAAAAATTATTCTTTCTTTTAAATTGCTGGTTTTTAAGCAGTTTTGAGTGAGAACTACTTTGAGTGGTTAGGACTGTTAGGAAATTTTGTGTTAGACCGTGGATGTTAGCTATGTATTTACTGATCTTACGATCAGAAAATACAAAAAGGAGAGTTCTAACGATTCTAGTTTTCAGGCAGTTGAATATATCCGCTGTCGATATTTGTATTTATCTGTTTTATTGAGCTCTTTTGTCCCTAAGCTATAAAGTAATTTAACAAAATAAATCATAAGAAAAAAAGTTTCATACTATTCCTCATGAATTATTTTATCAATTTTAAAACCATTAAAATTTTACGTATGAGACTGGATTATAATGTATTAACATCAGTGCTCGATAAATCAATCTTTATCCCCGAACCCAAGTCAGTTTAAAATGACGTCATACTGGCGTTTTTTTACGAAATGACGTCATAACGCTGTAAACGAATTGCCGTAACTGTTTTGAAATATAAATTATATCTAATAATATGGATTGATCATTTTATATGTCAATATAGCATCATATGAAAGAAAACATAAAAATAACGAAAAAAAAAGCGTTATTATTGTTGCAAAAATAAATTGCATGGCAAGCATATGACTACTGGCAGAATTAACCAGATTCTTTGGCTAGCTACTTTCGGGCTTTTTTGTGGCTCCAGGCCGTTTAAACTCAGTTTGACTTCCTGTAGAACAAACATTAAAGAATTGAATATAGAAAAATAATTTACATCGGTCATTTAAAATTACATATTGAAATCTAGGATCGCATTGGTTATTCTAAAATACAATGTAAATGATAGTTCTTGCCATTCTAAAATAGAATGTTAAGGATGGTTCTAAAATAAAATGTACATGATATTTCTTGTCAAAATAAAATAAAATGTAAAGGATAGTTCTAAAATAAAATGTACATGCTAGATTACGTCCTAGTTAAATTGCTGACATATAGCATAATTACTCGCAGAAAACATGTAACACTGCGTTTATATCTCATTTTATTTTCTACTGAACGTTTTTGTTTACATAAGAGCTTACTAAATTTATTTATACAATAACTTTAGTGTTCAAATACTATCAATAACGTCTAATATCCTGTAAATTTACTAAGTTTACATAAAAATATCGGAAAACACACGAACATTTAACAATATAGGTACATCATGTTCCCTTATGTTATGATGTTCATTTAGTTGATGTTTTCAATTGATTTAATGTTATAATTTCAGAACTAATTATCCTTTTATTTGTATTTGAAATATTACATATGTGATTTCTTAAAAATACTGTCAGATAAAACTTGTCCTACTTTCAAGAAACATCAATATCAATATGCATTTTATCTTATTTCTATGTTTACAAAATTGATTTATACGTACAAGAAATTATTATCTCATTGTTATCGAAAATTTGAAATAGCATATTTAAATTGTTCTATTGGTATGAGGAGGTTAAATATAGGTTCAGACCCACAAACATTCACAACACCAATGTGATATGGGGTTATGAACCACTTTTAGGTTTATCTCTAGACAAGTTATTAAAATCGTTTCTTTCTGTTTGTGAAACCAAGGCCGGTTATCAAAGTTGCTACAGTGTTGTATTCTTTCTTTTCTATCATAACTGTTTGCATTAAATAAAAGATAAAACGTCCATCGATAGTCTTTTGATTGCCCACCATTATTGTTTTTCTTCCTATTTCTAATATTGCATATGTGATTCTTCGTTATTATGTTATTGGTATGCACGCATTGCATTTCTATTTGTGTCGAAAACTTAGTAATAACATATGAATGTTACCAGTTTTACTTCTGCCAAGTATCTTTCTAAAAGGTACTTTTGGTTTGATTCGTACTTGCAAAAGCTTTTGCTTTAATAAAACAAAAATCATTGTTTCATTTGCAAAACCATTGTTAAAAATGAGCTATTTCTAATATGCGCTATACAAATAAAGTCAGCTGTTGGAATAAAAATAACTAATGTCTTACCTCGTGTTGTCGTAGCTGTAGTGCGTGTTATCTTTGTTGAGAAGAAATCTAAAAATAAATGAAGAAGTGCATAAAACTCTACTTATGAGCAAGCACTCTTGAGAAACCAGTATTGAAGAAAGTAACTTCCATCTATTTGTCAATTGTTAATATCTCAGTCATTCTGTTTCAGTCATTAAAATGCAGTTACAAATATGTGTATATCTTATATCATCACAGGGATCTTACAGTTTTTATTATATTTTTTCTTTTGTTGGTTTGTTTGTAAATTTACGTATTTTGTAAAAATAAACATTCTTGTCAATTAAAATTTAATACTTTATTTTACCCGAGAAAAAAACATCGTATTCATATAGTGTATCATATCTTTTATGACACACATTGAAAGTATTGAAAAACGCTTGACTTAAATTAATGAAATGAATGTAATATATAGAATTATGTGTTATATTAAGAGTACTATTAGTCGCATTACACCAAGTTTTAAATTCAATTACATTTTCAACGGAATGACTACATACTTAAAAAAAAATGAAAACCTGGACATGTAGATTCCGAGCAAAGTCTTATGCTGGTGGCCATTTCACCAGACTGAAATTCGCAATCTTTGTCTACTCCTGTTGAACATTTTCGTTCACGAGTCTGAAAGCAGATTGAACCTTGATGTCCACATGTCCACATTCCCCACGACGACCAGTAAGGTTGTGGAAGGGTACTTGGTTTTGTTGTTGTAATTGTTGACAGTTCAGCTGTAGGATTTAAATTTGTTGTAAAAAGCTTTTAAAAATAGTAAAGATTCAGTCACCTTTCTTTGGAATATATGCTTTTAAAAGTTTTTTCAAATTAATTGATATTCTTTTCTTAAAAACACTTAAAACGATTTGTGCAAAGTTTATGTCGAAAATCTGCATTATTTATAAATCTTAATGATCCTAAATATATTTGACAAGAGCTTTATAAAAGAAGGTATGTTGTAAATTTTAAAACAATTGGTTAAACAAAAATAAACTGATAAATACATCGGCATGATCCTAATTGAGATTTTAATATTTCCCATGGCAAATTTGTGCAAATCGCATCTAAGCCTGTTTGGCAGCATGCCCCTGCAAGGTTTTCAAATCCAACAACACACGTAAGAAAGCATGCAGCAAACTGTTCCAGGGACAACCATGCTGTAATATTAACATTAGTTCTCAAAACGATTAAAAACTGTTCGTAATTTTTATTTTATTCTATGTCTACTTTTAGTTTGTAAGGCATCTGTCAACAGCCGCATAAATGTCTTCTCGGTCGATCGATCAACTTAGTATCGAAATATAAACTTAAAGTTATATGACCGTGTAGTTCCGGTTTGATTAAGCCTGTTCATGGACGGTACTGAAAGCAAGCTACCGTCTACGCCCCTAGCACCCACAGAAGCAGGATTCAAAATTCAAACAAGAAAAGGTTTAATTTTAAATTTAGAAACATTCGCAGATGTGTTCATACGACGGTTATTATGGAACCTTCGTAAAGAGGCGTATGGTCCCAAGGTAGAAGAATGCGTTTCCCTTAAACAAGTTAACAAAAGGCGGAACTAAACAAAATGGAATTTTGAAAAGGGACATCATTCTGCAGAATGAAAACAACCTTAGTCTGTGTTTAAGAAGGAACGTCACTAGCACTGAACTTTAAGACAATAGCATTATATTTTAACAAAATCAATCGAGAAAAATGTGTTAAAATGCCCGACTTTTAAGATAACATTCATTACATTGTCTGTCTTTTAAAATCTAAATACATACCTGAAGTGGTTGGACTTTTTGATAATCCTGAAGAACAGAAAAATATAATAAGGAACTATATTCGGTTGAATTTTTAAACCATAATAATTGCATGTTAAAAACATGCAAAACACAAAAGACCGATAAATGTAGAAACAACTATTTGCAGGCTGTACTAAAGAAAATGACATAAATTTTCAACAATCATATTGTACTATAATATATCATTAATAAATTCAGTTTTTACTAATTTAAGGTAATCAAAATTAATGAAATATAATAGTAAATCAAAATCAACATACTGTGACAAGAATGTGACATTAGAACATAAAACACGACCTAAGCAATATATATAATCATTTACATAAAGAAAAAAGATGAAAGAAACACAAGTACCTGGGCAGGACCCTAGCTTGGGTTTCAAAATATCCCATGGAAAATTTGAACAGACCACATTGAGACCTGATTTGCAACATGTTTCCAAGAGTTTTCCATATGTTGGTGTGAAAGTTAGGTAACACGATGCAAACTGTTCTAATGAAATATTAGCTGAAATGATAATAAAAAAGTTAAAATACTTAACTATTATTGATATTTTGACGTTATAAAAAGTCGAATCACAGAGAAATGTATGGAAATAGATAATTAAGAAAATAACTTTGAACGCATCCTCTCGCAGTCTTTATTCTGATACTATATAAACCGTTGAAAGTCGTAGTTATATCAAAGAAATATCAGGTTTATTATGGTTTTAAAATGGTTTGCGGTATGAAGTGTAATCTGAGTTGATCTTAAATGTTGAATTATCTTAATGAATTTTCGCATTATGCAGTGCTGTCCATGAATAGGCTCAATCAAACCGAGCATTTAACATTTACAATTTAACCGTTTTTGACGTAAAGGTCCTTTATTGATTTATTCCTCTTTACCTTAAGTTAATGCTTATGGATTTGAAAACATTATTGACAGATAGATAAAACAGTACTTGTTAAATAGTAGGACTTTCTTCATAATAATAATAATAATAGAGTTTAGAAAATCTAAATGATAATGTTATAGATTTATTTTATTTATCACTAAGAAATGAAAGAAAGTGTGTATTTGAAGAAATATATCAAGAAGTAACTTGCATGGTACAGCATATCCATCCAGCAGAAAACGTTTGTTAGCTAACAGAGAGTAGTCTGCAACAGAATAAATTGTTTTAGCGCCATGCTGTGCTAACATGTTCAGGGACAAATAAAAAATTCCATATCAGTTATGTACATTTATCGAAAATATCAGTATTACTCAGTATGTCATATTTTAGCAGACATATGTGTATCATGTTAACATAGACATTATGCAAAAATATTTGCTTGTTGTATTGTTGAATTTAAATACAAATATGTTTCTAGAGATTGATAATAGACCAAAAACTGACATTGTTAGTTTTTTTAACTTTTGTGTAGTAAGCAATACAATTGATGGAAGGTTTCTTTAATTGTATCATTTACACTAGAATAGGAAGTTAATGGGTGCAGAAAGTAAAAAATAGTTGAAATTAATAAATTGAAAATGTCTGGAATTTTTTGCTACAATTTTATAATTAATATTTTTTAAAAAGATAGTTTAACACGTTTAAAAAGTTTAACAATACGATACATTACATTATCAAAAATAATTGATTTTAATTTGATTTTAAAGTAATACGTATACATAAAAAGAATCTGTTTCGATATGTTTCTTGTATATTTTTCATAAAAAACTAAACACATATATTAACCTTTAGATCCAGAAGTATCGCATGCATAAGTCGTTAGTAGTGTCACAAACACAAGCAAACCTTAAAAAGACAATTATTTACGTCAAAACCTGTAAAAGACATTTATTTGCGTCTATGAATGATATACTGATAAAAATGAATTAATTTTAGACATAACACACAAACACCCTAGGGTAATTATACAATGTGATCGAAATCATGTTCAAAGAAATATTATAACCCTAACAAAAGAGTCATTAAAATACATGTTTTGCAATACGAAATAATTCGTATGCCACTTTGAAGACGTGTGCAAGCTGTAAGTTTGACCCTATTAGTGATCCCTCGGAAGTATTATTCGCAACAAAAGTACATGAAAATTACAGACTCAGTTTGATAGAGGGATAATGAAATTGCATCATCCCTCAAGTTCGCTTGCACCGTTTTGAGCTATACTCAATTTCAATTTTCAACATTTAAAAGTGTTGGAATAAATGATCAAAGAAAAATATAATAACACTAATGTTGACCAAAAATGTATAAGTGAATATAAAATGAAGAATTTAAATTACCTGCGCTCTCTCTTAACATTATCATCTTTCTGAAAGACCTACTAAAGGCATGTATAACCATTGTTCATCTAGGACAAACGCTATAATCGTAAGAAATTAAACACGAACTGCTGATAACTTTATCAGTTTATTATCAGCTCAAATATTTACAATAGCGGGTCGTCTCTACCATGGACTTTTTTCTAGGGCATAGTTTTGATATTCCCATATAATTCGGACATAACATATTTTGTCTTACAAAGTTCTTCAACATATTGTTAACATAAGTTTGAAGTATCAGGAAATTACAAACTATTTTAAACTTATTATACCCCTCGAAATGTCAGGCATGCATTTAATAAATTATATGTTTCAATAATGGATTAAAAGCATATAAGATGTCTTAAAACTGAAGAAAGTAGCAATGAACGTGCTGTTATGTGTAATGAAGGCAACAAGATGTTAGAAAAATATATATTTATTTGACTTCCGTACAAAATACGAATTCAATATAATTATAGCGATTGCCAAAAGATCAAAGGAGAACAGATAGTTTAAATATACGGCACATGAGCACATGTTTAGAAACTGTTATAAGATACCAAAAATTGAAAAGAAAATTTCTGAGTAATAAAAATGATTGCATTTATCAGGCATAGTGGCTCTTAAAGGAGGAAAAATAAGGTATTACGTACCTAAGTATAATCCTTTTGTTGACTGGATGAGCTTGTAAATTCGACGAAATGTACATGTGTATGAAGAAAACACAATGTGAGAATATGTTAAATGAAACAGTAGGCTATCCGTTCGTTCTTTCAACTAAAGAATTTTGACAATTCTGCAATTGACTTTTTGGTACGATTAAAGAGCATAAAAGTAATTTTAAAGAAAACTAAATGAATATTGTATTTTCATCATTCATGTTTTATTCTATTTCTTTCTGTTTACATTATTAAGCCATGGTTGAGATGTGCATCTTTCTTCTTTCTTTTCCACTCCAAAGTAATTAATTCATGTGTGATTTAAGCCAATGCTAGTGGGACGTTCTTAAGGGATTTTCTTTCATCCCTATATGATATCCCTGGGGCTACGTTCCTTTCTATTTTAGTTTAAGTACTGATATTAAACAATGTCAAACAAATATATAAAAGATGCCCTTTGAATAAAAACAAATTAAGAAAACTAAATTTTTCGTAAGATTGGGCTTTTCTGGGAAGCCTAGCTCATGAATTTCATTGAGAACCAAAATGATTTATTTGCAATAAAAAAAACCCCGGGTAATCCTGTCAATCCTGAACACGTACTTTTGTAAGTATTGTAAGTATATTTATAGGAGGACTTGATAAATATTCAAGAGTTGTTTGATATTACTTCTTACACCGTGTTATGAAGGCTTAATCAAATCCTGATATTTCATAACAGAAACTGTTACATTGCTGTAACTATCCTCAATATTAGCAATTTAGAATAAACGTTAAATTAACAAGTGACAATATCATTACGTTGTGATGCTACGGTTGTGATAGGATACATGTAAGAACTAATATTATATTGAGTGTATATAAATAGATTCCGGAAATCAGGTCCGTGTCGTTTGGTCTGATATAAACGGTTAAAAGGATTATATAGTTCTTGTCTATCAGCGAGAGATATATTAGAACAGCCGTTTAAACATATCAAACAAAACAATAACGCTGAAGAAGCAATATAATGCATACGAGAAAGTAATGCGCTTTAAATATTCTTCCTTATTGCTCTATGACAAATCAAACAAAGCAATAACGCTGAACAACCAATATATTGTAGAAGAGCAACTGATGCGCTTAAAACATACGTCAAGATTTCTTTAAGACAAGTCAAACAAAGCAATAACGCTTCACATGCAATATAATGCATAAGAGAAAGTAATGCGCTTAGACACTCTTCCAAATTTATTTATTATAATTATTACAGTTATTACACAATTTCAATTTAACACGATTTGGTTCAGAATTGCTTCCCTTTTCTTCCGCCTCTGTAAAAAGATTATATAGTAATACATAGTAGTTATATAATATAATAAAGATAATTGTGAAATTTGTTTTGAAAAAGTTTACAAGGACATTTACAACTATATCCTAATTCTAAAATGCTAACTGAGATGTCGCTAAAATCAAATGTACAATATAACCAAATACATAAACATTTACACAAGTTAACAAACAGCAAACATCAACAAAATTTATCAAATTATGTTTTGAGGTGTAAAAGGCTGATGTCATACTTAAACATGACGTTTCTCAGCAGTTATCAATCTAATATGGTGATATCGCCTCAGTCAATATGTCCTTTGCCTGTGAATATCACATCATATTCAATGGCACCCTAGGCAATAATTGTATTATATCATATCTGAGCTATAAATAAGTATGCCCTTAGTATGCCCTTAGTTGATTTAAAATAATACTCCACTGAATCAATTGTTTGTGTCGTTTTGCAACTTACAGCTGACTTGCAGTTTGATCCAGTGTATGGAAAGCCATATACTGCGCACTTGTTTTCACAATACTTTCCACAAAGCGCACGAAGATCGGGGTCATTACAAATACAGATTTCACTCTGAAGCTGATCACAGATTACCTCTGAATACACAGGGTCTCCACATTTATTCAACTGTACATCCACTGGCTTATCTGTACGTGCAATATTTAAATTGATTAATTTTGTCATTTCAGTTGGTTTATGGTTACTGTCCGAAAATGTAATCCTAAATGCAACTGCTTTTGAAATAAACAAATTATAGCTTGGTAAACACTCATTTTCAGTCTAAATACTTTGACATGAACAACATATAAAATTACATGGAGCAAGGAGATACAATATTATTTTTATATGCCTTTAAGTGGACAGTGAAATTATATTTTGATCAATCAACAGTGTAATTGATAAATGTAATTTTCAAAGAACCCGGACTTTATATAAATGTGGATGATTTGAAAATTTGTGAAGTCATATTATATATTTTACTTATTATACTTATTATTTTACTTATATTATTATTATTATTATAATTCTTCTTCGTCTTATTATTATTATTATTATAATTATACATATTCCTGTTGGCCATTATGACGTAACTTACGGGAACATTTTCCACATGTTTTCCTGCAATACTGAACAGCATATTCTTCTCTGCCACAGAACACTTTCTGTGCCCCTTGTGAAGAGCAGGGTAGGTAGTCCCAACATGAGTCTAAAAAAGGGGGAAATTTGTTATGTTTTATAAATGCTTTAGTCAACAAGTGCACCGCTTATATGTACAAGTAATTAACAAATAATATTTGGTACGAAGGTTTCACCATTATATCAACATTCCTTATCTCCAATATATTTTATAGCTCTTTAAAACGAATTAACAAAAACAAACAAACAAACAAAAAAACAACAAGATTTAAATGTGGAATTTCATACTGTGCGTTTTTCGTTTCATGAAATTAAACGGGGAATATTAAAGGACCAACCACACAAGCCAGACGACCTACGACACAGTTTCCAGGCAGCTGCATTTTCCTTACAGACGTCAGTTAGTATTTCTGGTATTGTACAGCCAATAGATGTTGGATCATCTTAACATGGATCTAACAAAACAAGAAATCGCATTTGATAATATCAGAGAGTGGACAAACATAATATTTGAAACAAGAGGGCCATGATGGCCCTGAGGTCGCTCACCTGTATATAGCCCCCCACCCCGGGCCAATTTTTACCCAAGGGCTTTTATTTGTTTATTTGAACAGACTTGGTAGACACCAAAAGAAGATGTTTCATGCTAAACATCTAAGTTCTCGCTCATTGGGTTTTTTAAAAGAAGATTTTTAAAGTTTTTACTATACACATAAAGTTAAAAACAATGACACCCCTGGGGCAGGGCCAGTTTTGACCCCGGGCTTTTATTTGAACAAACTTTGTAGATATTTACTTTAAGATGTTTCATGCTTAATATCTAAACTCTAGCTATTTGGTTTTTTCAAAGAAGATTTTTAAGTTTTTGCTATGCACATATAAGGAAAATCAATGACCCCCCCCCCGGGCGGGGCCAGTTTTGACCCCAGGGTTTTTATTTGAACATACTTGGTAGACATCCATTAGAACATGTTTCATGCTAAATATCTTAGCTACTACCTCTTTGAGTTCTTTAAAAGAAGATTTTTTAAGTTTTTACTTTATACATATAGGGAAAATCAATGACCCCCTTGGGCGGGGCCAATTTTGACCCCAGGTCTTTTATTTGAACAAACTTGGTAGACACTCATTAGAAGATGTTTCAAGCTAAATATCTTAGCTCTAGCTTTGTGGGTTCTTTAAAAGAAGATTTTTTAAGTTTTTACTATATGCATATAGGGAAAATCTATCACCCCCTCGGGCGGGGTCAATTTTGACCCCAGGGCTTTTATTTGAACAAACTTGGTAGACCTTTACTAGAAGATGTTTCATGCCAAATATCTAAGCTCTAGCTCTTATGGTTCTTTAAAAGAAGATGTTTAAAGTTTTTACTATATGCATATAGGGAAAATCAATGACCCCCCGGGGCCGGGCCAATTTTGACCACAGGGCTTTAATTTGAACAAACTTGGTATCTCACTAGAAGATGTTGCATGCTTAATATCTTAGCTCTAGCTCTTTGGGTTCTTTAAAAGAAGATTTTTTAAGTTTTTACTATATGCATATAGGGAAAATCAATGACCCCCTGGGGCGGGGCCAATTTTGACCCCAGTGCTTTTACTTGAACAAACTTGGTAGAAATTTACTAGAAGATGTTTCATGCCAAATATCTAAGCTCTAGCTCTTATGGTTCTTTAAAAGAAGATTTTTTAAGTTTTTACTATATGCATATAGGGATAATCAATGAACCCCCAACCCCCCCCCCCGGGGTGGGGCCAATTTTGACCCCAGGGCTTTTATTTGAACAAACTTGGTAGATACTCACTAGAAGATGTTTCATGCCAAATATCTTAGCTCTAGCTTTTAAGGTTCTTTAAAAGAAGATTTTTTAAGGTTTTACTATTATGATATGCATATAGGGAAAATCAATGACCCCCTGGGGCGGGGCCAATTCTGACCCGAGGGCTTTTATTTTAACAAACTTGGTAGACACTCACTAGAAGATGTTTCATGCCAAATATCTAAGCTCTACCTCTTAGGGTTGTTTAAAAGAAGATATTTAAAGATTTTTCTTTCGGTTGCCATGGCAACCAGAGTTCTGCATGGAATTAAATTCTTTGAACAATTTTTAAAGGTGACCACCAAAGGAACATTCCTGTGAAGTTTGGATGAAATTGGCTCAGTGGTTTATGAGGAGATGTCATTTAAAGCAAAAGTTTACGGACGGACGACGGACGACGGACGGACGACGGACGCCGGACGGACGCCGGACGAAAAGCGATCACAAAAGCTCACCCTGTCACTTTGTGACAGGTGAGCTAAAAATGCATAGAGTGAAGCATGCTTACAATAGCAGTGGTTCAGATGTGTGTTTCTTCTCTTCTTTAATTTCTTTTTTAAAGTGTATAAAGCTATATATGTGATGAACAAATTATTGTTTGAAACTTAAAAAGGTATACTTCCAAACTGCTTGCATGAAATAAATATGGTAATTTATTGCCTTTAAAACGAATGGCACATGGTTAAATCATTGCTAAACAGATGAAGTCCTACTTAAAATAGCAAAAATATATTTTGTTCCGGAACATTTTACTTTGTTTACGTACATTATTCATGTGAATTAAATGACAGAGGCTTTCTATGTTACAATGTTTTAGAGAATCAACCATATAATTATGGAACCAATATAAATTTACTGTTTCTAAATTTTATTAAGATATTTCATAAGATATAGATCTATACTCTTTTATGTGGGGCGGATTTTCCTTAGTAAACATTTAAGGGCAGAGAATTACAAACACTATTGATAATTCTTAATTTAGAATCAGTTGATTTGGTTCTTACTTTTGTCAAATAACTGCACTGCTTAACCTTTGGTTCTAGGGTAACATACTTGCTTAAGATTCGAGGAGTCTTGAGTTCGAACCCAAGTCAAGCCATCTGAATTTTAAGTGTCAGTTTTAGTGAAGTTAGTATTTTTTTCTAAACACATTAGTCAGGAAATTCTAAGAAACATTATTAAATGTTTAGCAATTGTTACAAGTGCACACAATTGTATGTTAATGATCAATAGAGAATCATCCAAGCAAAATTCTATACTGCCAAAAACTATGACGAAAAGTGTAATATATTTTCACATCTTGTTTTTCTCTTGAAACGATTATCTTAAGGCTAATTAGATGTTGATAACAGATTTGTCATTTTTGAATTTGTGAAAAGGGGAATTTGGCTGACACACGCGCACATTTATTTAAAATACAAACAAGTAAAATGCATATATATTATGAATTAAGTATAGCCCCAAAAAGAAAATGAAAACATATGATACATATGCAAATATTCTTAATCAGAAAAGGTAAATCATCGCCGACTCTGACACTGACGATCTGACCATGGCATATGAACACATTCACCTAATTGTCCCGAAAAGTGGAACTAATAATTCCTTAATGTAAGCTATAGTGTTTAAAAATTGAGTAAAATTGCAAAGGTGTGGTATGACACTAAATAAAATTATATCTGCCTTTGGGACTAATTATATTTAGGCATAATGAAAAAAAAATATTAAGCTGATATTATTATAGAATTGTACTATTCACTAAAATTTATTCAATTATATAAACACCTATAACTGACGATGTTGTTATAATGGCATACAATCTATTTTCACAATTTATCCTTAAGTATATCATATGTAAGAATAAAACCAGCCATCAACCGGTTATCTAATTTTCTTTACAATATACTTGTTTGTCAAGAAAAATGGTCACTGCTTATTGGTGGAAACTTACATTTAGCAGGTTTTTTTTTATCTGATGTAGTTTTTATAATCCTTCACACCTTTTTCGATTTTGGATTGATATAACCCAAAGTTTACAAGAAAATCGTCTGCATTCATAATTTTAAGGTTCTGGAATTCAGAAGTATGAGTTATATAGGAAACAGAAATTTCGGGACCCTGAAAAATGTTTTGATTTCAAATGTCTCAAGATTTGAGAAGTTCTGGAATTCGTAAGTTAACATAATAAAAATTATAATAAAATAACATGATGCTGTTCGTGTCTTTGAGTTTCCGTATCCTTAAAAGAGGGTCATACAGAACTTGTTTATTTGTTCCTTTTTTCGTGGGGGGGGAGGTCACGTTTACATTAAAAGGTCACACATTGTATTGCGGAAA